TGGCAGCACTATGCATTTTTGTTTTTTTAAAATAATCCTCACGAAAATTCACCAGCGTTTTAGTGCAAATTTCTCCTAACACTTTTTGATGCAGTTTTGACGAATATACATTGATTTTCCCTAATATGACACATATTTGTATGTTATTTTCACATATATATTAATTTTTATGCACACTTTCCTCTAACATATGCATTTTTGTAAACCCTGTCTGATTGGGGAACTGCATTGAAAAACCCATATAAAGTGAGGATTTTGAAGGATGGCTGTGTTTTGGTTCACATATCATTTTAGAAAGTGCAAATTTGACAGATCTGCCTTTCAATATGAACCAAATCAAATTTCTTCCCCATCCTTGATAGTGGCAGACCCCTTTGTGTGACCCTTTGTATAGACACAGGAAACCATGTGCAGTTTCTTCCTGCACCATTTTGAAAAGTGTTTCTACCTAGTGCACCAGAGGTCCTGTTCATTAAAGCTGCTCCAAGCAGCTTTGCAATGTGTTAAAACAAGAAAAGGGGCAAGAGATCAAACACTTGATACACCTTGAAAGGACTCCTAAATTGCCTCTTCCTTTCGCTGATTATTTTTAAGGTTTCCCCCCAGAATTATTCCCAAAAAAATCTGCACAGGAATTACCCCCAAAATATTTTAAGATGTCTATGTATTGGGGGGGGGGAGAGAGATGGGGCTGCCTGCAATATAACCATCCATTCCTAGTGCAGCTCCAGAAGAGATGGACTTCAGCATATAAATGCAGAGCCAGTGTGCTGTAGTGGTTAAGAGCAGTGGACTCGTAATCTGGGGAACCGGGTTCGCGTCTCCGCTCCTCCACATGCAGCTGCTGGGTGACCTTGGGCCAGTCACACTTCTTTGAAGTCTCTCAGCCTCACTCACCTCACAGAGTGTTTGTTGTGGGGGAGGAAGGGAAAGGAAATTGTTAGCCGCTTTGAGACTCCTTAGGGTAGTGATGAAGCGGGATATCAAATCCAAACTCTTCTTTTTCTTCTTAGGTGACAGGGGTCCTTTGAAAGTGGAGAATTCATAGAACACTTTACAGAGCAATACTGAAGGGGCAGAGAGAACTAAAGACAACAGATGAACTGCGGTATTCAAGCCCTGTGGGGCTTACACCAATAAGGAAGAAATGGGGGGGGCAAATTTCCTTCCTTCCCAGTGTCTTTTCTTAAGTTCCCTCCCATGGATTCAAATGGGAGGGCAAAAAACTCTGCTTGCTCCAGAGCTGACATTGTCTCCCATTACAGAGACGGTGGAAGAAGAATGGAGAAAATTTAAAAGTTATCTTAAGGACTACTATAAACTTAATGAATGCTAAAATGTTGTGGTTTCCAGAAACAAAGGGATACAGGGATATAAGGTTAGAAATATAAAAAAGGATTAAGAAGACAGAGATTGGAAAATAACAATTGGGAGTTGCTAGTTGAACTATGGACACTGGGATGCAGAGAGGGGGGGTATGGGGAAGTCAAAGGAAAGAGGTTTATGAAAATATGTTTGAAACTATACGTGTATGTTTGTCATTTTTGGTGTTTGTTTGTTTTTTGTTTAAAAAAGTTTCTAAAACCAATAAAAATTTTATAAAAAAAAAAAAAAAAGACATTGTCTCCCATTACATAGACAACTGGAGCTTCCATTTTGGCCATCCTGCCCCCTAAAAAATCACAAACACCAATATGAAGGATTCTGATGGTCATTGTACATGCTGTCAAGATAATAAAATCCATTCTAAACTTTTTTTCGGTTGGCAAAAGGATGCTTAAGTGGGTGGGGGGAGAGTATAGTCTTGTGTCAATCTTCCCCAATCTCATGCCTTCCAGATGTTTGGACTACAGCTCACATCAGCCCTGCTGGGCCTGGTGTAAGCCATAGTCCAAACATCTGGAGAATGCCAGGTTGGGGGAGGCTGACCTACTGCCCAGGCATTGTAGAGCTATGAACAAAACCCCTAGGGCTTTAACAATTCTAGGAGGCAAAGTCTAGCTCTGAAAACCACTCACTTCACTTACAGCCATTTTATCCATTATCTTGTGAATGGGGCCGGGGGTGGGGGGAGGTGTGCCTTTAAAGAAAACCAGTTGATGCAGGTGTTGGTGTTTACACTGAGCATTCAGCTGAGGAAGTGCTGCCTGGAATCAAAACGACAAGTCAAGCAGTCCCCCCCTCCCCATTTCCCATTTAATAGTTTTGTAATTTGAGGATAATTGCACACAAACTGCAAAAATCAAACGTTCTTAGTGCAGTTACAGAATACTCCTCTAACTTATGTCTCTTCGCTAAGGAATGCAGTAATAGTTCATTTCCTGCTCTGCCCCATTTCCAAACTACTTCCCTCCCCAGTACCTGCCTTTTCCCTCAAAGTCTGTCAACCAGCTAAATGATCACAGGTGATTGTTCTCTCTCCCCTCTGCAAACAGAATGTACCCACTTGAATATTATTTTTTCTGAGGAGCAACTCGTTTCATTAAGATTCATTCACAAGAAGTCTTAGCTGTGCTGGTGTCATTTTCATCAATGCCTTTGAAACGTTACCATAACCTGACAAGTCTCCCCCTCCCACCAGCCTTTGAGAGGGCTCAAACTACAGCATATGCTATAAAATAATAATAATAATAATAATAATAATAATAATAATAATAATAATAATAATAATAGATAATCAGAGATGTTTCTGGCCAATTTCCTACAGCATCCTGGTGATGAAGCTGAGGCACACTTTTAAGATTCGCACACTTGACACAGATGCATGAATGATAGCGCAGTGTGGATGAATTCAAATACTTTTAAACACTTTTTTATATAAAAAAACCCCCACCCTGGATACTGCATATCCGGAATATTCCCCCACCCTGCTTAATGATTTGGCCTACGTCATTAAAAAAAATGGCAATGGATTGCAATTTAATATCTTTATGCATTGCAATTTAATATCTTTATGAGAAATGCAAACTGATGGCACAATGCCCATTACAGTATCTATGAATTATTCAAGGGATTGAAAAGGGACAGCTGATTTCCTTTTCTTCCCCATAAAAGATCTCAGAAGCAGCATGCTTGCCTTCCTCCGCGAAGTGCTGCTTCTTAAGGGTCAGCCTGGCAATTCTTTTACATTGCCAATCCATCAGGCTTCCAAAATCTCTGAAGGAGCACCCCAACTGTTCCATGTGTACTCACAAGGCACAATATTTCCAAGGCTTCCTATCCAAAATGTATCCCATTGCTAAAGACATAGTGAAAGAATCAAGGGGAAAGGAGGGTAAAAAGCTGTGGCTGTAGTTTCCCCGGACCATTAAAGATCAGGTTTAGCCAAGCCGCGGGCTCTGCAAGTAAACACTCTTTCGAGCAACCATTTTCTGTAGTTTTGAGAGCTCACAGGAAGACAGTCCGTGCACACAGAAGACCAGTTGCTTTTCACCCAGAAGTGCTAGCGGTGCAGTGCAGTGCAGAATTTTGAATGACTCGATGCTACAGAAAGAAAGAGCATAAAACTTCTGCTCCCAGTTACAGTGCCTTCCACAGCACTCTGGCAAAACCAGCCACTTTTCAGGACAAAACCCAGAAGATCCTTTCCTGCAGAAAACTCCCAGAACTACCCCCACCCCCATGTGAACTGTAGTCCAAGCATCTGGAAGGCACGGAAGACTGACACAGGGGTTATACTTCCTCCCGCCCCAGTTAGTTGAAAGCAAGTCCTGCTGATCTCAGTGGAACTTATTTCCAAGTGCTTCAGGCTCCCAGCCTAATGCTAAACAGGGTTACTCAGAAGGAAGTCCCATTAGATTCTGTATGACATATTCCCCAATAAGTAAGTTTGCATGTTGCTTTGCATGCATGCTTCCTGAGAAGCACTGGTTTTCAAAAGGCTTTAACTTCCAGCTGAATGTGCTTAGGCTTTCAGCATTGCAACATGATTCCCCGTGCATTCCTACCCCAAAATAATTCCCATTTAGCCCCATCCTAATATATACGCTTACCAGAATAACCTTCACCTAAGGGATGCTTAGAGGAATTTACTTCAGAGGCAATCGGGCTGTTAGTCAACACGTGGCTGTTCCCCACTCCAAAAGAGAAAAAAAACTTTCTACTAAAACTCACCAAGGCTAGGGGCTCAAGTCTGCCACCATACCTTGGTTTCCTTAGAAGTGACCTGGGACAGCTCAGTCGGTAGAGCATGAGACTCTTAGATTTGTTGGGCAAAAAATCCCGACATTACAAGGGGAGTTGGACTCGATGACCCACGGGATCCCTTCCAACAGTGCAATTCTAAGATTTACTGTTTCTAAGCAGACACACTTAGGGCTTCGCAGCTCCCAATAACCCCAAATCACACCCCCTCCTTTTAAAGAATAAATCTCAGCAACCTGTAGCACAATGGGTCAGTGTGCCTAACTGTTAACCAGAAGGTTGGTGGGTTCGACCCAGGGACGTCTGTGGGGAGAATTCCCGCACTGCAGGGGACTGGACTGGATGACCCTTAGGGTCCCTTCCAACTCTACAGTTTCTAATTCCCTAGGGACTTGATTCAGAATCGACCCGGACTGGATCAAGCTTCGCAGAGAAGAAGTTCACACTCGGAAAAAGGAGCAGAGGAGAGCAGCGGTTTTTGTCTAGGTGGCGAGTTGCAACCCTTTCCAGCAACGCGGGCGTTCGGTCCTGGACCAGAACAGAAAGTGATGGCAACGTGAGGATGATGATGATGATGATGATCATGGCATCCAAAGGACCGGACCCCCTAAGCAGCAAAAAGCACAGCGCTCCCTTTGCTCGCCAGATGCGCCGATCGAATGCAGGGTTAAATTAAGTTTTGCCAGGCTGTATGCATGCATACAGTCCCCGGATTTGCAAACCAGTCCCCGTACAAAATCCATTGAAGTTGAAAAATGTCCCTGGGAAAAAATAAAAATCTGGTAACCTTAGGTTAAGTGCAGCGAAGTGGCCACAGGCAGGACCGGGCGGGCACGTGCGGAGCCTCGGCTACTCACCAGCTGCCCAGGCGCACCGTCAAGAGCAGCAGCAGGAGCCTCGCGCCGCCGCGGGGGCTCCACGGACGCGAAGGGAAGCAGGCACCCAACTCCGGCTCCATGCGCGCTCGGCGCTCTGGGTCCAGCTGCCACTGCTGCTGCTGCTGCTGGCGCGCCGGGTCCGCAGACTCCCGTCTCCACTTCGCGAATGGAAGCAGCAGCAGCAACACCAGCGCCGCCGCCGCCGCCGCCCCGCCACTTGCCCTCCGGCTGCTGCTGCAGCCGCTGCTGCTTTAGCGATAATAGTTGTAGCGGCGGCGGCGGCAGTTAAGGAGAGCGCGAGAAACCCCTCAGCAAACAGGTAGCCGCAGGTCCGGGAGCGGAGGAGCCGTCAAGGCGTGACTGGCCAATCGGCGCCTCAGCCCGCGCCATAAATGATCGAGCGCGCCAATCAAGCCGGCCCGGGGGCGGGGTTTGCTTTCCGTTCGAAAGCGGGGCTGAGGGGAGAGAGGAGAAATTGGCGGGCTGCTGCCATAGGGAGCGGGGCTGCTGCTGGGAAAGGCTCCGGGCTTTCTGCTTGTGGAGGAAAGTTGGAGGTTATTCGTGTAAACTGGGGAGTTGCTGCTCCCTCCTCCAACTTTTAGAATTGGGGGGGGGGGAGGTGCTTCCTGGGGATATTCTCTTTCCAGCAAAAGTCTCTCAGGAAAGAGCGAGGGGAAAACCTCCCCTCAGGAAAAGTGGCGGGAGAGTTTCTCTCTCTGGTTCTGCGTTGCCAAGCTCCGAAAAGGGGTCTCGGCTGAAGCAAATTATTATGCAGCTAATCCTGCGTTCCTTGCTTGATCAAGAGATTTCTTTCCACCACACAACAGATTCATTTCTCTGTCTCCCCCACCCTCGCCATTTTCCCCCTTTAAAGTTTCCAAGCCCAGTGGTTGTAGGAAAACACAGATTTTAATCAAAGGGGAAAACACACATTTTAACGAAAGGAGAAGAAAGTGAACTGCAGATGCAAACATGTAGCTACTAAGGTTTTATTTCATTTACTGACCCCCCCTCCCCCAATATCTATATTCTAATTCTTTAACTGTTCTACACCCTAGATATGCAAGGTCACATGGTTGTATTCAGTATTAATTAATACTGCCGCTATTCGCTATACCTAATACTCCATCTCAAGGGTGCCAATTTGAATAAAATATTGGGGGGGGGAGGCAAGCCCTCAAAACTGATTACATGATGCCCATCACATTTTGAGAAGGCCTGGCCCCCTCAAATATTTTTTTTGGGGGGGGGACGAAAGAACCTCGGCCCCTAGGAGTTGGTTCCTACGTCCAACACTTCCACTGAAACCAAATAGGTTTTTAAAATAGGTTTGGCTAGGACACACCTGAAGACTTCTGTGCAAAGTCTAGGAAGGAGAGGAACAAAAATAGTTTCTTTATAAAATAAAACCTTTGGTCCATGGTTCTACCAAGACATTCGGAGCATGCTTTGCATGGGGCTAAATGGGAAATATTTGGCATAGTGATGGAGGCACAACCCCATCACTCTACTTCACCTTCCTAGCCCAGCTCATTGTGATTCCCCGTGGCTCTTTTGGAGTTTGGATTTGGATTTGATTTCCCGCCTTTCACTCCCTTTAAGGAGTCTCAAAGCGGCTAACATTCTCCTTTCCCTTCCTCCCCCACAACAAACACTCTGTGAGGTGAGTGGGGCCGAGAGACTTCAAGGAAGTATGACTGGCCCAAGGTCACCCAGCAGCTGCATGTGGAGGAGCGGAGACGCGAACCCGGTTCCCCAGATTAGCAGACTACCGCTCTTAACCACTACACCACACTGGCTCTCACTTTTGCACTATAGAGCCTGCTCTTCTTGTGCTAGAGAGTGTAGATGAGGGACCGATCCTTTGATGGTGCTGAGTGGAGCTGTTTCCCGCTTTGGACCCCCTTTCCAGTGTAGGACATATCCTGAAGGCAGCTCTGGTGAACAACGGGGCGCAGGGCTCTTTATCTCAGGCCCACATATTCGCATAAAGACTCAGCTGCAACGGAAAACAAGGTGAATTTGAACAGAATCGGAGAGCAGCCGGATCCAGAAAGAAAAATGTGCAGATGAGGTTGCCAACTCTACAGTCTTGGAAGGGTGCCTGTGGTGCCTGTGCCCTTGGAAGCACTTGGCAGAGTGTGGGTGTTATGTCCCTTTCTTGCTCCATTAGGTTTGCCAAGGAACAAGGACAGAACAGCTGGCAATCTCTCTGAATTGTAGGTGGCAGTGGTGGCCAGTATGTGGGCCTGACTTCTGGTCTGTATGGTACCGACAAGGTTGCTGCTGTATCTACTGGACTGCTGCCTGTGGAAAGCTGGGAGACAAAGGTAGTTATGAGCACCAGTTAACAGCTGTAATGGGTTGCCTTTAGCTAAACAGATGCGAGGGGTGAATTACAAAAAAGAGAGGGAAGGGAACAGCCGTAAATGGGAGTGGTGCTTTGTCTCAGCCCCTCTCACTTGCAGTGTGCTTCTAGGGCTCCATCTCTTTGGATTACTAACTGCCGTGCCTACAATACTTACCTGTTCCCTTTAGGGTTTTTCAGCTGAACTTTGTATGCAGTGGCTAAATGTTAAGCTCCACAGTGCCTGCTGCAATATTACAAGGCAAAAGGGATTGTGAGTATTTGACAAACGGTGGCAGTGGGGTATTTGCTACTGCTGCACCAAGTGTCTGTTCTCATATTTACTTTCAGCAGTACATGGTGAGGTCATACCTGCACATGGACATCTATGAGCAAAGATTCCCTTTCCTACACAGCATATAATATACTCAAATTTCTGGTAAAGAGTCTTGGGTGCCGATTGATGGCATATTTCCAAGGTACAATGATAGAGGATGCTAAGATGTGATGAAATGGACCCCTAAAGAGCTCCAGCGAACATTATTACAGAATGGAATTGTGCTGTAAAGTGCATGCTGCAATCCTTCATGTACTTATTGGTAGGATGAATTCACAAGAGTAATTTTAATGCACTACTCCATGCATACAGGCCAGAATACATCTATATGACTAGATCTATGTTCATTTACAAGTAAATTAGTTTCATGTAGAATTGGAAGATGACTTCTTTTTAAGTTCTACTGGGATAAGAGCTCAGAATAATGTGAACGCTTACATGTTCCATCACTGTCATGATGTCAGGGATGGGTTGTCGACAGTTATCTGAGATGAATCAGGAGCCAGGAGGTGAACCAAGGAATTGGAGCTGGGGAGCAAGCCAGAAGTCAGGGCTGAGGACAAAGCAAAAGTCAGGGCCAATCAGCAATCAAAAGAACCCACAGGAATGCACTTGAGCCAGGAAGACATGGTTGTGCAGGCACGACCTAACTTAAGCAGGACCTCCTTTCATAGTACTTCATGTACAGGAGGGTCCAATGGACAACTTGGGTGGGCTACCCCAGGTAAGCTGTCCAGGAAGATGCTCCAGCTGCAGAGATGTGCATGCTTTCCTGTTTGAGACCTGGCAGCTCTTGCCATACAGGCAAGCTGAGTCAAATACTTCTCTCTAGCAATGTTGAAGCTCTGTCCTCAGATGTAACATGATTAGGACGGGTGTTTAATACTGACATTGCAGTAGCAGCGATCAGTAACAAGAGGTTCACATTTGGTATTCAGGAGGTATCATTGAGTCCTCCTTCTTAACAACCTACAAATGCAAAAAGTGTAATATTGTGTCAATAAAATTTGGCAGCAAGCCATTGGGGGGAGGACAGCATGTGTTATTTTGGCCCAGTAGCAAACCTAGCCACTCACCAGGGCACAGTAGATATATTATCTTAATGCTGGAGGCCACCTCTTAGAGCTTATTATTTCTGGCAGGCTCTAAGGCACTTTACCCCTTTAGATTTGTGTAATATACACTTCCCATAAAAGACACTTGAATTTCCGCTTTAAATGGCTTATGCCAACTAATCCACCTTCCCTGGCTTTAATCTCACATGCTCACAACTGAATGCACCAGTGATGGGCAGATTGGTACCCAACCCAATCTCTGAAGCAATGTTAATGAGCAGCATACCACTGAAGCTTTTTGAGACTCGGCTGTTGCTATGGGGATGGAGAAAATCTGGCAGGAGCCACCACAACAGGTTTATAGTAACCGGAAACTTTTCAGTTTGCAGGGTGCCTAATCCTTGCGTCCAGGAAGTTCTGTATGGGCCACAGAGTTGTGCTTTTGCTGGTAGCTCGATTAGTCACAACACAAAGATGACTGCAGTTCACCAACCCTCTTGTATGAAGCAGAATGACACATCCTTTGCTGTCTGTTTAGGGTGAGCTTGCAAATACACTTTCAAGTCCAAAGGGTTGGAAGTAAATTTCACCACCAAGAGTATCTAGTTGGTCTCAGAATGAGCGCGTGTATGAAGGTATTCTCATTGGCTGTCCTGCTGAGATATTCCTTCTCATTTTATCTCTTTAGTAAAACTCTCTCAACCTTCAAAGGAGCTACATTGTTTTTTGAGCCATTTCTCTTAATCCTGTGTTCAGACACTGTTTTGGAAACTTCATTGTCAATCACATTTCAGTTGCAATATACACAAAAGCTTCCATAGCTTTTGCAATCATTTTGGGAGGACATGTCATGGCAACAATCAACAGACTGAGAAAGAAATGCACCCCAGGCCTCATTCCCAGGTGGCTTGGTCTTCCCAGTAGGGATGCTGAAGAATTTGCTGTTTGTGAATTGTGATAGAGACTGATCTGCAGTCTCTACGTGACATCATTGTTAAAACAGCTGCACTGGCTGCCTATCTGCTGCTGAACCAGGTTCAAGGTTCTTGCGTTCATTTACAAAGCCCTGAATACCTCCACGATACCTCAGAGGTCACCTTAACCTTTATATCCCAGCTCAGGCACTGAGATCATCTGTGGAAGCATCTCTGGTCATTCCATGAGTTGGTGAGGCTCATTTCACAGCAACCAGAAACCGAGTCTTTAGTGTCATCAGCCCAGCCCTGTGGAACACCCTGCTAATAGAGATTCAGCGGGTGCCTTCTGTGCCAACTTTTAAATGCCAGCTGAAAACTTTTCTATTCCTCCAGCCTTCACAGGAGACCTGTTTCCAGAAGAAGAACTGTTGGAGGAGAGAGACTTGGAACTGGCCATTGGGCAATGGCTTTTTCCACCTGTCTTGCCCCACCCTCCAGCCCTAGGAGCCTTCAGAACGGAGTTGCTGTCCTGGGCATTATGTGTCAGTGTCTTGATGAACTGAGTAGAACATTGCTTAGTATTTTTTTGTGGATTGCGCCATCACCTCTCAGGTGGGCAACATTGCTGGTATAAGAGAACAAGGGAGATGTTCACTGTGAGCTCTCACACCTCTTTTTCTAGAAAAATAGCACTGGCTGTAATGCTTTGATAATCTTATAATAGGACTTTTGTTGTGGTTGTGCTGTTTAGCTTTTTAAGAGTTTTTTTAAATAGTGTTTTATGGAGTGTGGTTGTTTTACTGGTGGTTTGTTAATTATTATTCATGATTCATTTTGTATTTGAGATGTTCTACTATGTTGTTTGTGAGTTGCGTTGTGATTTTTGTGAGTGAAAAGCAGCATAGAAATATAACAAATAAAATGAAAGGCTTATGCAGGCAATTAAGACCACTCCTCTACAATTGCTTACTGATGTTTTATTGTATTGCTTTTAACTTGTTTGTAACTTTATGGTTTTACTGTCTGGTTTTATGTTTTTATGTTGCTGAAAATCACTGTGATATATTTTTTATGATATTGCGGTATACAGATAGGTTTATAAGTATATAAGCTGTTAGGAGGTCAGGTGTGTGCCTTCACAGCACAACACAATCCATTACCGATTTGGAAATTCTCCAATGGCTATTGTGTTTCCCAAATGTTTCAATGCAGTTCTTAGCTCATATATATATATCAAATTGTATATTTTGACAGGCGAAACTTTGTTTAGTACACTTATTTAATGTAGTCTCTCTCAAAATAAGCATTTCTAAAAGTATCATTTTGTACTTCTCTAGTTACTAAACATCTGCAAATGGTTACACTTAACAAAGATTGTTTGAGTCTGTAAAAATGGTTGTTTTTGCTAGCAGCAAGCTTTATCAAAAGTAGGCAACAAGACTAGCTTTTTATTACTTTTGTATAACAAAAGTTTAGAAAGCCTTCCATAAATGTATTTTAAAGATAGCATGGTTACAGTTTCAAGAATGCATAACATGTCAGGTGAGTGAAATGGATTTTTTATTGTTCCTGTAAGGACATTATCATTCTCCTACAGCAAAAATTATTCTGATGCAGGGAACTCTGTGAAACTTGCATGTGGTTCTTCACTGTGATCACTATGCACACATAAGTATCTGCAGCATGTATCTTAAATTTGTTTCACACAGTGCTCTTTTGGGGATGGTGTATTCACAAAGCAAATTTCAGATGCAGTAGAAATCTGTTATTTGTGAGAATAGATAGAAAAGAGAAACAACAGAATCCCTGCTTACCTAATACAGACATGTCTTGGAACTTCTCAGGGGGGGGGGCATTTTTAAAATTATGACACAGTTCCTTTCTTCTTTGGAGAGAAACCTTAAATGTAAAAAAATAAAAATTCCAGAATGTAACTGCCAGGTGGAAATTGCATCTTGAGTCAACCAACAGCAACACTTATGCCAGAAACCACTTTGTTTGGCTGATGAGTCATAAAAGGGGCCTAAATACAGTCTTCAACAACTTTTGTAGAAGTCTTGTCCTGAATCTTAAATGTGCTTAAAATCAATGTGAGTCAAGAATGCTTCTGATGTTGTTATTCTTGTACAGATATTCAGATCCTCCCTTATTTAATGTGAAGATTTTTCTACAAACTGTAGTCTTATTGCTAGGGCTTAGATTTCAGTGGTGAGAAGATTGGGATTCACACCATGGTTTGAATGCTGGCACACGCATGCACACACACACACACACAGAGAGAGAGAGAGAGAGAGAGCGCTGTGCAACTTAAGGCTATTTTTGCACCTCGGTTTAGCATACAATTAGAAATTGGAGATAAAAAAGAAACATGTTTGCTCTTTACTGGGTTTCAGTTAAGGTGGTAAAAGGGGTGGAAAGAAATGCCAAATTCTAACTATCACAAGCTGACTATTGCTTGCTCACTCATCATTATCTATTTGGGATGAGTCTAGATCTCTACGGTTCAGGGGCAGCTTGTGGGCCAATAAAATGACCCCTGTGGGCCGCTTGTGGCCCATGGGCCTTAGGTTGCCGACCCCTGGCTTATACCCTTAAAAAAATAAAAAGTGCTGTTCATGCATATGCTGAATTGAGAAGGGTGTGGTAGGGCAGAACCTCCTGGTCCCATCCACATTGCCATATCCATCACAGACCCCGTTCTCGACACCTGTGTGTTGAGAGTCTGCAATGGACTGCTACTAGTGGTGTGAGCAGCTGCCCACACAGAGCCACCCCTTTGCAAACACCTGCTCTGAGCATGCAGGTGTAGGGGTGCAGACGGCCTGGAGCAAGTCGTCAGAGGCAAGAGATACGGCCTCACTCCTGCAGACATGAACTCTACTCATGGAGGGAACATCCTTCTGCACATGTCATTCTGGTGTTCAACCACATGGAGCAAGCAGGAAAGGTGCAATTCATTGTTATTAAAAGTTTGGCCTCAAGTGCTTCTTGAAAACAAAAAGAGAAGAAGCACTTCCACGCTAAGGATTACCTCCTTCATTTAATTTTTAAGTGTTGCCGTAGTCGTGCTGCTAGTAATCATGTTAATGAGTAATGTAAGCAATCGAGGCAGCTAATCAATGACATCTTAATTAAAATGGTATTTAACTGTAGGAAATAAGAGCTTTATACAATTTTTTTAATAGCAGACATATTGACTATTTGGTAGAATGCAATTGTTTCGCTTATTTTTCACCCTGATACAACAGCAGAAATGAAAAATTAGGCTTTCATAGTCTGTTTTCTGTGCCCTTTAAGCTAAACTTTCCTCTTCTTCCTCTTCATTTGTTCAAGTACAGTTCAGTAATCCAGTGTAATGCTTTATGTGCAGCTGCTACTAACAGTATGATCGTCCAGTAATTTCTTTAAGACCAACTTTATAGGACAAAAAGGTTTTTTTATATACGTATGTCAGCGGCTGCCTCCAGTCCCAGCTCACAAAGGACCAACGCCAGTTGCTCTTTATAAACAAAAGTCTTTATTGTGGTTCATTGTTGGTTTGACATCAGTGGCGCGCAGCGCTACGTCTGAGTCCTTAGACCGGCGAAGTTCCGTCTGAATCCGCCCCTCCTTTACACCAGTTCAAGACCCGAGCTTTGCTCCACCTCTTCCTTTCCTCCCTCTGCTCCTTTCGCCTCCGGGTCCTCCTGCCCTCTGGGGTTCCCACCCTCCTGGACTCTTCGGAGGCGGATTCTTCTGACTCCTCCCCCTGTCTCCGGCGGGCTTTGGGACCTGGCTCCCAATCCGGATTTTCTGCTGTCCCGCGCACCTCTACATTTGAACTTGGCGCGCGCGCCCAGCTGCCCACTTTCCTCCTAACGGCTACACTGCTCCCTTCACTGCTTTCTCCTTCAGGGAGGCTGGCCGGCCCTGCTCTCTCCTCCGCCCCTCCACTCTCTGACGGAGGCGTGGTCAGTCCTGCCTCACTCTCTCCTCCTGCAGGAGGAGGCTTTTGTTCTAATCTGTGGGATTCTTCCCCCCCGCTGCGCTCTGGTGGGGAAGCTAGCCCTGATAGCTGCCACTTGGCGACTCCCCACTGGCCCCCCTTGCCCTGACCCTGGGGGCCTCCTTCTGAGAATCTTCTGATTCGCTGGAGGGACTCAGGGAATCTCTCTGGTCACTGTCATACCCTCCTGCGCTCCCCTCCGATTGTTCCCCTTCGCTCTCCATCTCCTCCTTCTCCTGTGGCTCAGTCCCTGAGCCCCTGACAACGTATTAAAAAATATCTCTTTATCCTGTATTTAACCAATCAGTGGTTTTTCAAAGTGATATTTAGGAATGCTGGAATCATTAAATTATCTGACTGGAATAGCTCAGTTGGTACAGCATCAGACTCTTAATCGCAGGGTTGCGAGTTCAAACCCCACACTGGGCAGAAGACTCCAGCATCACAGGTGATTGGACTAGACTACCCTCCCAACTCTACAATTCTACCTGAAAATATTTCAGTTCAACCTCCTTTAATTGAACAGGATTTTCTTCTCAAATGGACTAGATATCCAAATGGACTATACCAAATGGATCACAAGTAGGGGGAGAAAAACTCCTAAGGTACACTTCATTGGAGGAAAACCTAGAGGGCAGAATGGTTGTGTGTCCCCACACAAAAGAAGAAGAAGGGGAAGAAGAGTTTGGATTTGATATCCCGCTTTATCACTACCCTAAGGAGTCTCAAAGCGACTAACAATCTCCTTTTCCCTTCCTCCCCCTCAATAAACACTGTGCGGTGAGTGGGGCTGAGAGACTTCAGAGAAGTGTGACTAGCCCAAGGTCACCCAGCAGCTGCATGTGGAGGAGCAGGGAAGCGAACCCAGTTCACCAGATTACGAGTCTACCACTCTTAACCACTACACCACACTGCCTTCCCCTACCTCAAGCAGCTAAAAACAAAAAAACCTTTCCTGACTTAGATATGGGTTATGCTCATTTATTGAGAAAGAATGCTAAATCTGTCTTCTAGTTTGTCCTGTTCCCACCAGCACAGAATCTGGGTGGTACATTGGCTTGTAAGCATGCTTTGGCTCAGAGTGGCATGGCATCTCAACTTGGGATCGCAGTTAAGCTGTCTCCTCCTTAGCCACAATTTGTAGCCAAGGTTTGTTCTTGACTACAAATTGTGGTTCAGGAAGGGAGAGCTCCTTGCTTTGGAAAATGGGCAATTTTCATAAGGACAGCTCCAAGAAAATGTATTATTTGTAGAACTTTATGCAGAACCAACTTGTTTGGCCTTTGAAGAAATAGATAATAGGGCTAACAGGTCTGGTCACAATTATCCAGAAACAAGTTTTATTGTGTACATTTGTAGGAAGATAGGCCTTTCCTTGTTTGAACTGACACATTAACAACATTTGGGCTTATTCTAATTCCTAACACTTACTGCCTAATGAAATGGCCAGTGAAATATTTATTTGAAAATATTTCAATTGTGGATCAGGGCCAGTTGTGGATCACTTGTTTAATAGTGACTCGTTCTTTCTGGAGACAAGACAAATGGTCAGAAATATCCCTCTTCAAAACACATGGAGTTCAGTGTGTTGGCTAGTACAGTTTGTTACTCCTTCGGTGAGGCACATTGGAGATCTAGACTCATCCCAAATAGATAGTGATGAGTGAGCAGGCAATAGTCAGCTTGTGATAGTTAGAATTTGGCATCTCTTCCCACCCCTTTTACCACCTTAACTGAAACCCAGTAAAGAGCAAACATGTTTATTTTTTATCGCCAAGCACAAAACTGTCCCACTCTTCTAGTTAAATTTTATTCTATTTTAATGTATTTAGTGATGAAATCACCAATTTCATCTAGAAATATCATCAGGTGGAAAATCCTAATTTACATTGTTTTCTTCACCTAGTAGACTTACATATGTTTTGCTGGGATCTATACAGAAACAAAAGGTCGGCGGTTCGAATCCCCGTGGCGGGGTGCGCTCCCGTTGTTCGGTCCCAGCGCCTGCCAACCTAGCAGTTTGAAAGCACTCCCGGGTGCAAGTAGATAAATAGGGACCGCTTACTAGCGGGAAGGTAAACGGCGTTTCCGTGTGCGGCTCTGGCTCGCCAGAGCAGCGATGTCACGCTGGCCACGTGACCCGGAAGTGTCTCCGGACAGCGCTGGCCCCCAGCCTCTTGAGTGAGATGGGCGCACAACCCTAGAGTCTGTCAAGACTGGCCCGTACGGGCAGGGGTACCTTTACCTTTATACAGAAACAATGAATTGCAGTTCCAAAAAATTGACCTCCTCCTCCTTTTTAAAAAAGCTACATTAGACTAGCCAGTTAGGAATTTGTCATTTTAATCTATGTGTTTAGCAATATATATCAGTGAAGCTTTATTAACAGGTCCATTGTTACCTTGGATAGCAATCTTCAACATGCTTAGTAGGAAGTATTTACATTGAATTTAGTGACAGGACTTACCTCCCCATCTCTCTCTCTTATACTTTCCTTAAAATGTCTATGAACTATAATGTCATCTACTCTTCAGTTTAACATGTGAACTAACTCTTGAGTAAATTCTTTTAAATAACAGTAATTTGCATTGGAATCCCATTGTATGTGCCAGGATGTGTGATTGAAAGCGGGACAATCTCTTAATAGGTTATAATTTTAAGTATCATAATTTAGGGCAGCATGACCCCATCCTTCTTGCCATTGTGCGTCAAGAGAATATCCAAGAAAGTAGAAAAATTGAAGGGTTGAAGGGAAAGGGCCTTCACTACAGGCCTTTTAAAAAGCAGCAATTGTAGGTCTCTTCTGGAAGTTTTAAATAGCTTCTATGTGTACAATATGGCATCTTATGTTCAGAGAGGCTGAATATTGGAGAGGACAGATAACTATTTGATGCCAACCTGACTTACTCTACAAAAACTCACTAAGTGTCACTTTGTTTTAGGAACAGATCCATTCATCTACACAGGAGCGCAGTATGATCCAAGAACCTTGTGCTAATATACGGTGAGTTTGTTCATCACACCAGCTAAGCCTTCAAATGTGTAGCTTCTAATTTTGATCTTATGATCTGCCTTAGTTTACATAACATCAATGAAAATGTTCTTGTAGGCTTGAAAGTTAGATCTGAAAGTTAACTTCTAATTCTACTGATTTGAAGTTTTTAAAGTCATTTTAAAAATTCCATTCTTATGCAGTTTTGCCATGTTCGAAATGAGTTCAAACTTTTTAATTGTGTGTGTGCACAGCAGACATCAATGGCATACGGTATCTAAATAATCTTGACACCATGGAAGACAAATCTTCAGTAAACAGATTCAAAGGGACAAAGCAAGATGACCCAAATTGACTTTGACAAGTACATTAACTTCTTTTAGCCAGTATTTTTGACATCTTGACCAGAAGACAAGAATGCCAGATGGTACTGCAGGTGCTGAATCAAGAAACACCGTCTTTGGCCCTGATCCACAAATCTTTGCGGAGAAGTACAGATTGTGTGCGTGATAGAGAACACAGAGTTTATTATGTGGAAATCTGTCAAACCAATGGCTTGTGTGGTCAACGTTGACAACACTGATCAAGAAAGGGAAAAGAAGGGGTTTCTGGCTACATCATGAGTCAATGGTAGTGGGAGGGCAACGAAGAAGGTTCAGGCAAGGGAAAGCCAGGATTTATGAGGCAGAAATCCTGGCAGTGTTCCCCCGTGGGGTCTAGGGAACTCACTGCATCCCACTGTGCCGCTCAAGCCAGTGTCTGTCAACTTGAAAGGCAGAACAGGTGTGACTTGGGAGTGTGTCCCTGCCATGGACGAGCCTCTGTCTCTGGCATGATTTGTGGTTGTTTCCTCCATAATTCGGACAATTGATATCAATCAAGAGGCACTTCTGGACCTACATATGCTAATGGGCTGCAATCAGCCAGCTGCCTAACGGACTGGGATTGGCTCTTTGAAGGTATCTGAATGTTCTCTTTGAAGCTTGAGAACCCTTACAACAGCTGAGAAAGGCGGGGGAAGGACAAGGCTTTGTGCTTTCTTATGCTTTCTTACTTTATTTAAAATTATTCCTGGACTGTTGTTGGAGGAATGCAGTGGCAGACAAAAGAATGAACTGGTGCTGAACAGATGTGGCAAAGAGGCTGAATATGAGAAAAGATCTGTGCCGAGGAAGAACTCCAGAGCAGAATTTTAATGGCCGAGTTTGGAAACACACTCTGAGTTATTTGTGGCTGCAGCTCATATGCTAGTCTGTAAACAGTGGAAAGAATCTCCCATGCTAATATGATAGCATATGAATCATAGTCCAAGACAAGACAAAACATAAAGGGACAAGAGAAGTTTTATGTTTTATTTTAAAAAAACAACCCTCACATCCTCCCTTTGATGCTTCAATCCTGCTCTGTTTAATGTAAACCAGATATCCACATTACATCCAGAATTAGTAACTCTGTTTTAATGTCAGTTTATTATCCAGTAACTTGATCCATAATATGACCCTCATTAGTTAACTTGGCATTCAACCAGAGTACCCCATTTTGGATGCAATCGGGAACACTGGATGCAATCGGGAACACTGGTTTGCACAAACCAAAACTGAAGCACTAAAGCTCACCACAAATGGAGGAGAAAAGAGGTGAGGAGCAAGTCCCAGAAGCTTGCTGCCCACTCCCAGCTTAATAAACTATGGTTTATTAAGTCAGGAATGTGACATCTGAAAAGGCTCGTTGTACCCGAGGTGTTATGCTGTTGTTGTCATTATGCCTATTCATGGATGCACTGGACAGCAAACTATTTTTTAAAAGCTGTGCAAAGATTAAAGTGTGTAAAAACAGGGAATCTCCACTTCTTTGTTTGATGTGTCCAAGGGATGCATCGAAACTGCAAATTCCTGCATGATGGGAAACTGTGAGCACATCGCTCACTGATTCATCTCCCTTGTCTGCCCATAGTTCAAAAGAAAGTCTCTGGTGGTGATTTACTAGACAGCATTGCTGGTTCTGAACTACAGCCAATTTTTCTGCAAATTTTAACCTGATATGCATGCAACTTCTTCCTTCCTTGAAATTTAATTGCCAGATTTTCCGTCCTTCCATTTCAGAGACTTTATGGAGGCATCCATTTAAATATTAAATTACTGTGACATAAAACCACGAGGAAATTCCAGGAAGGGACATCACGCTCTTCCACCCTAGCAGGGTTTTGGAATATGGTGGTATCCTCCCTGTGATCCTCCCTGGCCCCTCATTGGGCTTGCTCTGCCCATCTGAATTGTGAAGCCACAGTGAACTAATTTAATCTCCTTGCAGATAAAGCAAGCATTGAAAATCACCTTCTGCAGTGTATCAGTAGTGCACAACAGTCTAAACCTTTCAAGAAGATAGAAGTAGGGTTATTAAAGCCCAATATCTGCAAGGAAAAGAACACTGCTGCAGAAAAAGCAAAATTTAACGAGTAACTAAGTTCTGAACTAAATCCAGATTGATTTAGCAAATTAAATTATTTAAGCGACCAGACTTCTCCATTAGCACATTCATCTTAATAGCACTTCACTGTGCTAGCCTGAGTTTCTTAGCCATTCCCATAGTATTACCATTGCAATTTTTTACAGTACCTTAGGGATTTGTAGGTTTCAGCAGAACAAACTCCCTTAGTGATGACTTCTTACTCCTATGCTTTTTAATCTGATCCAGGGAGTATAATGTGACATGGGAAATTTCTGAAGACATAGATCTTAATGCTTTCCACCTTTAAAGCTCCTTTGTGGAACTGTGTTTGCAAAGGACTCCTTTTAAAATTGTTCTCCTGGTGTTTCCAGTGAGAATTTCATAATGGGGCCAGAATGAGAGATCCAAATGTGTGTTGCTTCCTAGTCAAAGCAGAATATACCCAGTATAAATAGTTACAGCTGATAAATCTTCTAGTGTCATCTAAGGATGGCTTGCGATCTTAAGAGCAGAAGACAAGCCCTTCTGGATCAATGAGCCACCTGCCCCAGAATCCTGTTTCTCATACTGAACAGCCAGATGCTTATAGGAAGCTGACGACATAAGCATGATAACTGACTCCTGCTGCTGTCCCATGAACTGGTAAGGATAGAAATATCTGTCCAGTTCTCTCAGTTTCTGTCTCTCTCTCTCTTTACAATCTTAAATTCAGTTCTCTACATTTTGCAGCAAAAGAACCCCACAAAACCAATTAAAACCCTAATGAAAATTTATCCGTATTCTAGCACAGCACTCCATTGTCTCTCAATTTCCCCTAATATAATGCATTTATGGCATGTTATTTTCAGTAATAGCTTCCTTTGATGCAACCTTTCCCTTAATATTTGAATTTTTGTAAACATTGGTTGGGGAACTGCCCCACAAAATTGAGTTAAGTGTGAATGACGAAGCGTAGCTATGTTTCAATTCACATAATGTTTAAGAGAGTGTGGATTTGAAAAATTTGGCTTTAAATGCAGACTGAATCGAATTTCCCCTCCATCCCTAGTTACTGAGGCTGTGTACACACTCCTATTTACTCTGCATCCAGTGTGCTCCCATTGCTGGCTTGGGAAGCGGTGTACACACATTAGCTACAAACCATAACCATTCTGCCATTTAGTAGGAAATTACATATTTCCTCGCAAAGCAACTTCAGTTAGAATTGAGGGAAATAATGACTTAGCTGTGTTTTCATAGAATCTTAGAGCTGGAAGGGTCATCCATTCCAAACCCCCTGCAATGCAGGAATCTCAGCTCAAGCATCCATGACAGATGGCCATCCAGCCTCTGTTCAAAAACCTCCAAGGAAGGAGAGCCCATCACCTCTCGTGGGAGTCTGTTCCACTGCTGAACAGCTCTTACTGTCAGAAAGTTTTTCCAAATATTTAGTTGGAATCTCCTTTCTTGCAACTTGAAGCCGTTGGTTTGAGTCCTACCCTCCAGAGCAGGAGAAAACAAGCACCAACAGAAGTATAAAGGGAAGCAATGGTACCTCTCTAAGGCAGAATAGAGTGGTACTATTACTTCCCTTGATCTGGACACTTTACTTCTGTTGATGCAGCCTAGAATTGCATTAGCTTTTTTTGCCGCTGCATCACACTGTTGACTCATGTTAAGCTTGTGGTCCACCAATATTCCTAGATCCTTTCCACATGTACAGCTAGGAAACCAGATGCCCCCTCCCCATCCTATATTTGTGCATCTGGTTCTTCCTGCCTAAGTGCAGAGCCTTACATTTGTCCCTATTGAAATTCATTTTGTTAGCTTGTGCCCAGTTCTCCAATATGTTAAGGTCATTTTCTGCCTTCTGTGGCATTACCTACCCCTCCCAGTTTTGTGTCATCTGCAAATATGATGAGCATCCCCTCAATTTCTTCATCCAAGCCATTTATAAAGACATTAAACAACAACGGGCCCAGGACAAAACCCTGCGGCACCCAACTTGTCACTTTTCCCCAGGATGACGAGGAACCATTGATGAGTCTTTGGGTCAGTCAGTCAACCAGCTACAAATCCACCTACTTCATCCTACATTTTACCAGCTTCCTCACAAGAATATCATGGGGGACTTTGTCAAAGCCTTACGGCAGGCATAGGCAAACTCGGCCCTCCAGATGTTTTGGGACTACAACTCCCATCACCACTGGCCCTGTTAGCTAGGGATGGTGGGAGTTGTAGCCCTAAAACATCTGGAGGGCTGAGTTTGTCTACGCCTGCCTTACTGAAATCAAAATACACTATGTCCACGGCAGGGCCCATTACTTACACCATAGGAGCCTACACAAGACAAAATACTGTTGCTGTATGTAGGTTTTATTTTATTTGTTTTTTATCTTATATTTTGGAAATGCACATCCAGGTGTTTCTTTTTCCTTTAAATTTTTTGGGGCCCCAAGAGAGTGGGACCCTAAGCTATAGCTTGTTTAGCTTATATATAAATCCAGCACTGCTTATACCAGAGAAAAGAGAGAGGAAGGCCTTACCTCAACTTCCAAGTCTTTGTTTTTGTGTGTTCGGAACTG